ATGAAGAGAACGATTACCCATTAGAGGTAGTACAACTGAATATAATTTTGAAAGTGTTTCTCAACCCAGTCCTGAAGGACCCCCTACTAGTCCAGGATTTAGGGATTACCTGAATGTGTCTAAGGTGTTTAGAATAAAAAAAAAAAAAACACCTTAGATACACCCACGTAATCCCTAAATTACGTGATGGCTACTAGTGCCACCACAGGGCAAATGGTTAATTATTGGGCCTTTCTATTGCTTTGGAATGAGTTTGTATAATGGCTTGGGGTTATTTTTGTTGGCAGAAGAGCAGATTGACCCAAATGCATCTAATTCTTCCAATACCAGTTCTCCAAGTCTATGAACCAATGTACAGCTTTGTTTCTTCTGACACATTTTTTGGACTAGTAAAGATTCTATCCTGTAACCACACAAATCAATCATCAACTCCTCATACGCTACAGAACTGAATGACTGCCTATGGATTGCCACCAGAATCCATTTATTTCACTGGAAGGTACATTTAGCAAGAATTGAGGATACAATGGAATATCACATCCCTTGATAGAATTATGCAAAAAGCTTTTAAATGTTACATTTTCCAAACTGGCTTATTGAGGGGTACAATCTAGTACTTCCTCAATGAATCATAATTAGAATAATTTTACTAATTTTAAATAACTGACTAATAGGACAGTAATTAGGATTACAACTCGGAATACAACCAAAGTAGCAAAAAAAAAAAAACATTTGTAGGATGCCTAAACAAACAAGGAATGGTTGTCACGTATTCATCCGCTTATAAAAATGTGGTTAATGGCATTTACTGTCCACACAGGAAAAGTTGTGCCGAGCAGCAACCAAATCCACAGAAGGGTTAATGCTGAGCAGCAATTATGCAAATGGAACCTGGTAATTGCCTTTGGGGTCAAAGGCCGGTTACAGCCTATCAGATCTAGAGGAGGGGTATTTAGGACCAGTTCTCATACTGCTCAGTGCCCTGTTGATTCTGGTAATTCTGGTTATTTGACTCTTGCATTGTTTTTGACTTCCCTGTTTTCTGGAATCCCTGACCCCTGGCTTTTCCTTATCGTTGTATATATTTCTGTATCCCTTGACCTTGGCTATTCCTGACTATTCTTTGGTACGTTAGTCCGGCCATTCTAAGGTCCTGTATACGTTACCTATCAGTCCTCTGTGTTACACAATTCTACGTGCTGGATCATTCTGTAATCCTGACACTTTGGTTGTGGCATTCATATGGCTGTTAGTTAGACACGGACCAAGTACCTAGAAAATGTTGAAGACCACATACACTCCTTCATGGCAATGGGGTTCCCTGATGGCAGGGCTCTCTTTCAGCAGGATAATGCAACCTGCCACACTACAAACATTGTTCAGGAAAAGTTTTTTTGTTTTTGTTTTTTGGTAAATATGCTGTTTAATTGAATCCTTTGTAATAGAATGCTATTTAGTATATTTTTTTAAAAACATTTTCAAGTTTATAAACTGCAGAAGGATTTATCTCAAAATATTTAAATGCTCACAGTTTGAATAGACATATTTTTATATGTAATTAATGGGAGCTCAGCATAGGAGTATTGAAGTGCTAAAAGAGGTACTGTTTGTTGAGTGTTTCAAGGCTTCAAAAGTACTTCAAATATTAAACTGTAAAGAATTTAAGTGAAGCTCTTATAAATAATAATACAAATTCTAGCAGCTTCCGTGAAACCTACTTTTTTTGCCAAGTTAAAAAGTAATTGTTATTTTATTCTGACCAGAATAACAAAATATACTATATACTGTATTACATGGCAGAATGTATATACACAGACACTCCATTAAACACCACAAAGAAGGATTGTACTGCACTCGCATGTGACACCACTTTACGCAGCCTGGCCACTCAATGAAGGACCTAAAAATCTAAGTAATGAAAGGAGGTTTTAAAAAATAGCCAAGAAAGAAAAACTTTTGAAACCAGAATAATCAAATTGTTAAACAGCAAGAATAGAGGACTAAATATTGATTTGGGTTTCCTGTCCCACTACCAACACTTTACATGAACACTCCCCCCACATTATCTTACTGTTCTGTCATATGTATCAACATTTTAAAACGCATTCCAATATGTTTATTCTATCACTATACAAAGTGCTATGTGTAGACCTATGCTTTCCCATACTCTTATGCATGTATGCTTATATATATGACTGTGCATTTATATTTGACTATATATTCATGTGTATGTATATGTGTTCATTTGTTTATGCGTTTGCATGTACATATATATATATGTGTGTGTGTGTGTGTATGTAAAGTGTACCATCTTCTGCACTGTCTGATTGTTTTTGTTTTTTTTATTCCCTCTCCCCCCTCACTCTGATCTTCAGAAATATATTTATGACCCTCTGCCAAAATGTTGTCTATATTCTGTCAAACCTGTGTCTTATCTGCCCTCATGTCACTTTAACCCCTGTATCACAACTCAAATTTGAATTCTATGTGTCTTCTTGCTCAGAAATGCTTCAGACTTGAGAAAGGGAGGTTGTCCCAAAAGCTTGTCATTAAAAAATTCTGTTAGTCCAATAAAAAAGGTGTTGTAGCGGAGCAGTAGTATTATCCACGGTATCTCCGCTGGTAGACAGAATCAAGAAGGCACAAAGCAGGTAAAATCCAGGTAGCGTAGTTACAATCCCTTCCTCCCAAGAACTAGACGACACATAGCTTGGAGGTCAACTGAGGTTTATTTTCAGGTCACGGTATTTATGGGATTCCCCATGCAAGGGGTTTCCCTACTGATATTTCAGGGGTTGTACAGTAGGGGACTACATGGGGAACTGACCAACACATACCTTTTTCCCATCATGCACTGCTGGACGAGAGGGATACTCCCACTGGAATATACTGTTAATAGGATTATCCCTCCATGCAGCAGAACTCACATTTTACATTAAAATACATAACTTTAACAATATTCACTAGTTTTACACGAATGGACGTTCGGTAGATAGCTGGAGGCTGAGCGCATCGTTCGTGAGAATACCGCTCAGCTCCCAGTCTAACTAACCGAACGCCGTACAAAATACATATAATTTCTAACATAGGTTTTAAAATACCGATTATCGTAAGGGGAATAAACTACCGAACAGCCGAGGTTCCCGAACGGCCTGGAAGTCCAGCGGTGTTTGCGCCGTCGAGTAGCAGTTTTTAGTTCCAGGCGCTCAACGACAAAACACCGCTGGGCTAACAAAAGAAACAAGATGGCCGACCGCCGCGTGGTCGGTATTCGAACGACGGCCACCTAGAATCACTCTTAATTACTGGGTGCCACACGACCCCCTATGTGTGGTCGTGCGTTCGGTAGGTTATTCGTTTCACGAACAGTGTTTAACTCACTGTTCGTGAAACTTCATTAGGAATGCTGGGGTTTTCATACCGCCAGCATACGAATGCCCTCATTCGCCTGAAATACAAATAGCATTGATTTTTATGGCTTAACAACAATACACACATTGATAGTCTCTGGTGGCTAGTTTTGCCACAGGTGTATTACAAGATACAAATTGTATCTGTTTTTTTACACACATATATATATATATTTCCCAGGTTCTTTCATTTTGATGTCATGGTCATTGAGTATTGCCACATCCACCAGCACTGCAGTCCTCCACTCCTTGTCCACGACGATGTCTAGTTTGTTCGCAAGTACTTGCTTGTCTTGCTTGATCTGGAAGTTCCACAAGATCTTTGCCCTGTAATTTTTGACTACTCTTTGTGGCACCTCCTATCTAGATGTAGGCAGGTCTAGCCTATATTCTGTGAATACATTTTTGTATATAATCCTGGCAACTTGGTTGTGCATCTCAGTCCTCTAAGCTGTCCATGCCAACATCTTGCTCCTGGCAACTTTGAACTGTATTATCTTTGATGCCACTTTCACATTTTGCATCTTTGGTCTTGTCTAGTGTCATTCACACACACACACACACACTTCTATTGATCTGGTGTCAACTGCCTGTTCCTGTGCTGCTAGGATTAGTGCCTCTGTGCTGTTTTTCCAATCACTGGCAGGATTTTATAATGTTGACCATATCCACAATCTGCCTTTGGAACATCCTACAGAGGGGTTTGGCTGCCATAGAACCTCTTTCTTGTCTACATCCACTAACTGTAGTTATCTCAGACATGCCCTTAGCAGTTCAGCTTTGGAAACCATGTTATGATCTACTTGCAGGGCCGTCTTTAATATTGATTGGACCCTGGGCAAGAATTTACTTGGGCCCCATGGATCCCGCCTTCCCAGACCCTAGTATGCAATAATGCCCTCCACCACAACACACACAAACATGTGCAGTGTGTGAGTATATATCAGCCAACCCACTGCTTTCCCCTAGGAAAGCATTGGGAGGCTACTGCGCACGCGTGGCAAAACACTGCACTGCACCAATCAGCATCTCCTCATAGGGATGCATTGAATCAATGCATTTCTATGAGAAGTGTTCAATGTGAATGCCAGTCCTGCACGTTGTGCAACACTGGACTAGGAAGCACCTCTAGTAGCCGTCTGATGAGTGGCCACTAGTTGTATTCCTAGGCAGTAATGTAAATACTGCTTTTTTACTGAAAAGGCAGTGTGTTTACATTAAAAAGCTTGCAAAGACAAGCTATAGACACCAGAACTACTACGTTTAGCTGTTGGGTTTCTGGTGACTATAGTGCCCCTTGAATATAGAGGAAAAAAGAACCACCACAAATGTATGAAATAAAATGTCTGTATCATTATTCTAAAAATTATTTTAAAAAACAAAACAAAAAAACTATGCACATTCCTAGCTTGATTTTTAACACAACGTCCGGCACAAACATTTTGTACTTTGCAGATTACTTTGTATATGTATAAACAAATATATAAGTAATCTGTAAAATACAAAATATTTGTGTCAGAAGTTGTGCTTTTTTAATTTTTCTAATAATGATACAACCATTTTATTTCATACATCTGTACTAACTTGAGTGCTGGTTGGAGGGGGTGAGGGGCAGTATTATACAATCTTTATATATTTTTAATATTACATATACAGGTTGTGTAATACTGCCCCTTACCCCCCTCCAATCAGCACCTAAATTAGCAGAAATGTATGAAATAAAATGGCTGTATCATTATTCTAAAAATTCAAAAAGTACTTCATATTTTACAGATTACTTTTATTTTTTTAAACAATGTGTTGGTATAGTACAGTACTAACCACTCACCCCCTGCCCCCTTCTCCAACCACCCCTCCCTAATCCTCCCCCCTCTAACCACCCAGCCCTCCCACCCCCATAAAACAACCAAGAAATTTATCTTCAGGGAATTACTGTAATTTAAATACTTACATTTCTGAAGACAGCAGGCTCAGGGATCAGTGCTCTGGGGCCTGGGCTCAGGGTTCACGGTGTGCGGCGCTGCTCTGTTGTTGGGGGAGACCGGGCTAACCCTAGTGTTGACGTGACTCCGCCTTCACGTGACATCATGATAATGCGTGTAAGTAAAAGGCAGGGGAGGTCGGGAGTGACGGGAGGAGGTTGGGAGGAGGAGCAAGTAAGTCCTTCGACTCCTTCACTATGCAGAGATGTCGCTCGCATAGTGAAGGACTCGGGAGGCAAAATAAATATGCAGCATATTATTGTGGGCAGCAGGGCTCAAGAGGCAGCTGCCTTGGGCCCCCCAGGAGCAACTGGGCCCGGGGCAGCTGCCCCTTTTGCCCCACATTAAAGATGGCCGTATCTACTTGTGGATGCGCTATGGTTAATCCAAGACTGTGACCTGGACAATCAGTAACTCCTGTCCTCCCTCCTCTTGGCTGATGTACAGTTTCTGCGTACTATATTTCATGCGGAATCCTAAGTTCACCATGTACTTGAAAACTCTCAACAAAATAAATGTGCTTTTCCTTCAAGCCTGTGCATTCTGCTTACACTTCTGAAAATTACAAGGATTTTTGATCAGTTTATTAGTTTAACTTAATTAGTTAAACTGCAGCGTGATATGAAGTATGTATAGTTATTAACTATCTCCAATCAACTACTGACCTAGCAACCCTTCCTCGGATAATAGTTAATGCATACAGATCTTTTGTAAAATACCTTAATTATGTTTTCACAACCACCTTGTTTTGAAGATTCTAATTTAAATTCAAAACTGTTTCAAAACATTACCTCTTTCTTAATTTACATAAGTTTTTCAGCATCCAATATTTTGTTTATACTGTCCTATTCATTTTTGCATCTGTTTATTGAACCCAGAAAATAAATGTGATTTTTATTGTCATACAATATGTCATATTGATGGTCTTTTGCACTATTTCATTTTGCAGTTGAGAAACTCTCTCAGTAATGTTCTAAGGGGCTATTTTCCTGCTGCATTATATTTTGCTCCATTGCACTCCAGTTTAATAAAATGTAAATGCTGTAGAAATATCCTTGGTTTCTGATGGGTAAGGAAGGGTAGCGATGAGGAACGATTTGTTTTGCTGTGAATATTTATCTTTAACACTATGTGGGTAATGCACTAGTCTCCTGTGTTCTATTCTTGGTCATGAAGATATCATTAGGGAAACAACACAGTGTGTTTTCCTTTTATTATAACAAAAAAATTATAATGTAATCTCAATCTTAATATTCTTTGAAATATTTAATAATCACACGTGTGTATAAAGTCTCCTCCCCAAGTGGTGTTAGTTCAATGCCCTGTATACAACGTGATTCCTAAAAATATTATTGACGTTAAAGAGAATTAATACAAGTACTTTTATTTCAACACATAATTTCTGTCCTACAAATGTTTGCTTTAAACTTTATGTGCAACAATAGAGGGCGCATTTATTGTGGAAGTTACAATTATGGACAAATACAGAGCAATTCTATAACCCAGATGCCCACAAATCAGCACTTACCATACAATAAGAAAAATAAATACATTTGGTGAATATACATAATCAATGTGTAGAACAGGTGGGCCTACAAACAAACCATTTGGTGTGTTTGTAGTGGAATGGCAACCCCTTGCAGACATGGCCCTCCCAAGTACCCGAGAGTGATACAGAAACCTTGGAGATATATGAGGGCATAGGTGCCTTTTATTTCCAGAGGAAGCGATGAAGCCAGAGGAGCAGACAGGAAGAAGTGTCAGGCTGTCAGATGGTTAGGGCTGGCAGCAAAGGATGTCAAGAGTCAAGTTCAAAGTCAGAAGCTTGGAAATCCATGGATAGGTAGCAGGATGCCAGAGGCCAAAGGTCAGAGACAAGAAGTGTGGCCAGTTTCAAAGCCAAAAGTCAGAAACCATTATTGGAAATCAGGAGCTGAGACCAGAGAACTAGAATCAGAAACCAGGAACAAGAACCAGGACACTAGTAGATGAATGCAATGCTTTGCTTTTTATAGGCAGAACAATCATGAGACCAGCCTCACCTCCCTGTAGGTTTAGCCCCCAGAAGCCATAAAGGAGGAGTCAGGACTTGAAACCATCTTAATGGCACTGAGGCACATCGCACCTATTCCCCCAACATCCCTGTCACTTCTTGACTGTGTCCACAAGGTGGCCAGCATCTTAGTGCAGTGGTTCTATCACAGACCCTGGCGACAACAGGGGGAGGCCGAATCCAGACCCCAGGGAGCACTGCCAAAGAGGCAGTACTCGTGGACTTGCTCCCAGGATGCCGCAGGCATGTTGCAGCAGGTAAGTAAAGGCAGGCACCATGAGAATTCTTCACAACACAACTGAGGTCTCAAGAGTAGCCATCACTGATAGATACATGTATATATGATATCTTATATATATGCAACTTCATTCTAAGTGTATTTTAATAATAATATATATGTAGTTATATTAACATTAAAATACACCACGTATGACATTATATATATATATATATATATATACACACACACACACACATTACATTTATTATAAACATGTTTATTTTTTTTGCTTTCCACCAGCAAGGGGACTGTCTGACAGTCCAGACAGTCCCCCTGCTGGCAGATCCACAGCCAGCTATAGGGGGCTATGTGATCGCTCTTTGAGCCTCATTTGGCATGAGAGGGCTGCCTGGGCTTTCAGGCTGTCATCCCGAAGAGGATCGCGGTGGAGGTAAGTTTCTCCTGGCGCCTGGGGCTGCAAGCCGTTACAGCTTTCTATGCCGCCGCAATGGCTTTAAAGCCCATTATAATGGGGACGACAGAAAGCAAGTTTTTAAAGACAATTTTAAGTTTCCATAATGATTTTTCTGATTTTAGATTTTTATTCCAGATTTTATATTTCAGAATATTTTCCAATTCCTCCAGTGTAACCTATTGTTACTAGTAATTACACAGTCTATTCACTAGGATCTATGGATAGGCTTCTCAATATAATTAATATCTAGATTTTATTAATACAAATTGTCTGAATTAGGATAGGAACCAAAGCACACAAACCCAGAAAACAACAAGGGAAATACTATCCATGTACTAGTTTTTATAATGGGCAGGCTAACGGAAAACAGAGTCAGAATAGCTGAGGTCAAGGATAGAAGATAACAGGGTTAACCGATACAAGCCAAGTCAAAGGAGTACTAAGGTCAGGATAAATATTTGTACAAACCAAGAGAATACATGAATGTGCTATTGGGCTATCAAAAAAAAACACAGCAGGGCAACTATGACTGGGACAGGTAAGTATAAATAGGTAGGGTTTGATTCATATTGGAAAGCATTATTTTAGAGTTCCAAATGACTTATTTCAAATGACACACTAGACAAGACCCAAAACCATTTCAGCCCGATCCATGATGTCCTCGGATTGCATTCGGTAAATCAAATGTGTCATTTGGACGCAAATTCGGAAGTGAATGCGGGCATGAATAAAAGTACACATTTCAAGAGCATCATCTGAGAGAACACCAGAGATAGCAGGTAAGACCCAAGCAACACTGAAACAAATTTGTACAATGCGCAGAGTTTTAATTTTCAAATGAAATGTTTCTATTTGTGGCTTTTTTTAAAATTAATATTTAAAAATAGAGAACTTATTGATTAAGTTCCCTGCATTCTAAAACCAAGTCAATAATCTATTGAAGAATTGCATTGTATGTCAGTTGAGAGGTGGGATTTTCACTATACCAATTAGGACTGATCTATTGAATGTCAGGACTGTTTAGACCTTTTGCTATCATTCATTTAAATCATATTAATACCAAGAGAATGAAGATAGCAAAATATTATTTTTTTTTTTTAAAAGCTTACTGCATAATATTAAACTTTGCTAGACTAGAGTGACATAAACTTTTTAGGACACAAAATATTGTAAGTATTTTTGTTTATGGAATACGGAGGTTAAAGAAACACTTTAGTGGTAGAGGTACGAAGATGTATTCCTAGCATTAACGTGTTCCTCTACTCTCGCGGCTTGATCCACCCAACCCGGCCATGTAAGGGGTTAAATAACCCTTTATTCACTTACCTTATTCCAGTGCCATCAAGTGGTGGGTTGCACTTCTGCTTCCTCAGACATTAGCGATGGAGGGGACCTAATGGTGGCAAGCACCACGCGCATTGAACCTTCCCCATAAGATAGCAATGCCTCAATGCTTTTCTATAGGATTTTCCTTGATGCTGGGTTTCCTCATGAAAAGTGTGACAGTGCACCCAGACCACTTCAATGATATTAAGTGGTCTGGGTGCCTATAGTGTCCCTTTAAGTGTAATAAATATTACAAATGGGGCGTGACCCAAAGCCATGCAAAAAGAATGCTTCATTCTGAGCTCTGATGTGCGGCACTGGTCTTGGCAGTTACAAGCAAGCATTTTGACATAGAAGCAGACAAGCATGATGTCTCACACCAAATCAAAACGGCTACAAAAGATAGATTTTTTTTTTTTTAGCCTATAACTCTCTCATTCACGGCCACTGCTCCAGATAGAAATCCAAGATGACAGAGGGTTACAGCCCAGCACATAGGCCACAAGATGAAGCGGATGAAGAGAAACTTTTACAAGCTTTCTACAAGCTGCCTTAGACTCTCTCTTCTAAACTTATTTCCACATGGCAACAAAATATGGACCAACTCCACAAAGACATACAGAAACGTGGTTCCCGAACATTACA